GAGGGATGGATGGATGGAGGGATGGATGGAGGGATGGAAGGATGGAGGGATGGATGGAGGGATGGATGGATGGAGGGATGGATGATGGATGGAGGGATGGATGGAGGGATGGATGGAGGGATGGAGGGAGGGATGGATGGAGGGATGGATGGATGGAGGGATGGATGGAGGGATGGATGATGGATGGAGGGATGGAGGGAGGGATGGATGGAGGGATGGATGGAGGGATGGAGGGAGGGATGGATGATGGATGATGGAGGGATGGATGGATGGATGGATGATGGATGGAGGGATGGATGATGGATGGAGGGATGGAGGGATGGAGGGAGGGATGGATGATGGATGATGGAGGGATGGATGGATGGATGGATGATGGATGGAGGGATGGATGGAGGGATGGATGATGGATGGAGGGATGGATGGAGGGATGGAGGGATGGAGGGAGGGATGGATGATGGATGATGGAGGGATGGATGGAGGGATGATGGATGGATGGATGGATGATGGATGGATGGAGGGATGGATGGAGGGATGGAGGGATGGATAATGGATGGATGATGGAGGGATGGATGGATGGATGGATGATGGATGGAGGGATGGATGGATGGATGGATGATGGAGGGAGGGATGGATGATGGATGGAGGGATGGAGGGATGGATGATGGATGATGGATAATGGATGGATGATGGATGGATGGAGGGATGGGGTCAACGTGGATAACTGGACGTATAAACGACTCCTTCACTGAGTAAACTGTATGATTCATATTGATCAGTATCAGTAACAGCAGAGAACAGCTGATCAATGAAACCAAACAGTGAACTCATTGATCAGAGATGACTTTATTAATATATTGATCCATTCTCTCTATTCTGTATTTTTATCATTTTAACAATCAGACTTAATATTCTTCTTTCTGACAGATTCTCTGATAAAAGTGAAATCCTCTCCAGTTCTGAGCAGCTAGCAGCAGCACTGCGTCTTTAAAAATACTATATAACCAGAGCCGGTGCACCGAGAGCCTGGCCTCTCCCCATAAGGTCCCATTGTACCGAATACTGGTTGCAGTAGCCTGGCCTCTCCCCATAAAGTCCCATTGTACCGAATACTGGTTGCAGTTCCAGCAGAGGTCCACTGGGGGCGCTCTCCCATCAGTGCAGAATGAATGGGAGCAGATGGAGCTAGACGGCTACATTTGTCTCTTTCACCTGATTGTGGTTGAGAGATCTCAGATGTGATTGTAGTTTTTAAAGTTCAACATGGGTTATAGGTCGAAAGCTGAATGAACGAGTTCTGATGTCCTTTAGATTTCTTACAGGACGAGTTGTTGTTGCCCATAACGCGCTAGCATTCTGCTAATGAACGCTGATTGGTCAGTGAAGGACTGATTACGACCAGAGATCCCGCTTGATGGCATCGTGGCATCCGAAGCGGGAATATGAATATTTTGGCGTGGTGTTTAAAACAGCAAAACAAAAACAAAGCACAAAGAGACTCGAGGCTCGCCGTAAAGCGGTATCTCTGGCCGTACAATGTGTGTGACGTCACTGACATTTTAAAAGACTTTTTAAAGAAAATAAGTGACTCTAACAAATCCAACTCTTCCTCACAGGTTAGTTAATGACAGACAGTCAGTGAGTGTGTGTGTGTCCAACTCTTCCTCACAGGTTAGTTAATGACAGACAGTCAGTGAGTGTGTCTGTGTCCAACTCTTCCTCACAGGTTAGTTAATGACAGACAGTCAGTGAGTGTGTCTGTGTCCAACTCTTCCTCACAGGTTAGTTAATGACAGACAGTCAGTGAGTGTGTCTGTGTCCAACTCTTCCTCACAGGTTAGTTAATGACAGACAGTCAGTGAGTGTGTCTGTGTCCAACTCTTCCTCACAGGTTAGTTAATGATGTTACTGAGTCAATGTGAGCAGATTGTGTCTGTAGATTGAAGAGAATCAGAGTCTCACTGATGGTGGAAATAAAGGTTTTACTTCCTTAAAACAGCCGTTTTTTGAATGGAGTTTGGTGTGACTGTGGAGCAGAGGGTTTTTTTAATGAACTTTCTTTTAAAACACAAAAAGTGGTTGTTTTCCTTTTTTTCTGCATTTGTGAAACATGTTGTTTCCTGACTTCACGTTTCAAACTAAAATCTGTTGGCCGCATTATACACCGACCTCCTAAACGTTACACACTGGACCTTTAAAAACTTGGTTTTAAAACTAATGAATCTTACAAACGGAGAACATGGAGACTCTCATCCCACTGACGGCTGGATCCTACATTTCCCATAATGCAACTGGGGCAGTGCCTCCTGAATGCCATCATGACATCACCGTGACATCATCAGGGTTATTTCTTCCTCCAGAGACACAAAACACTTGATCAATAATGAATGTGTGGTTTTCTGTTAAATAAAGGTGTACTGGCCCTTTAAGTGAGCGCAGACACAGATTCTGATCTAATCTGATAATTTGAGTTCAAACTGAGTCCTACAGTAAAAACACAAATTAAAACAAGGAGAGAAGAAGAATGTGACGACTTCCTGTGAGAATATTCAGGAAATTAAAACACATTCCTGCAGTTTGGATAATTAATTTAAATTGGTTTGAATCCAACAACGTGAATATTTCTGTCAGATGAACGATCGTTTAATTCAGCTGAATAAATTCATCCCGTCTGAACGCCATCTGGCTCCTGACGCTTCATCACTCCTCACATTGTTTCAGAGGCTTTTTCAATCACAGTGAATCCATAAATCCGCTGACATTAGTCTGGGAACCGGAGCGGTCTGCCGGTCCAGCCCCGATCACACAGACTGAAACCGGTCCTGCAGCATTATAGCCAACAACCGAGATGGCTGCTTGGTCGTCCAACACGGTTTTATACCTTTAATTTGACTTTGCTGCATTTGTGAATGGATCCTCTCTAAGCCCCGCCCCTTTTTGCTCTGTGCTCCAATAGCAGTTGAGCAACTTCCTCCTTTCCTGTGCTAAGATATGCTATGCTAGGCTAATCTATGTTGAAAAGACAGCCACAGTTTGAAGATGGTTAAAAGATAAAAGAGACAAGATAATCTCCATTCATCGTGAACTAGCTCGTTAAATCTTACAGCTAATGTTGGCCAAACAGAAGCTAATTCACGTGGTTGTCTTTCCAACGTTCCTCCACGATTCCTGCAGCTTTAAAAACCTGCGATACATGTTGAGATGTTTGTGCAACAATACTGTGAGAGGAAGTGAACATTGTAAGAACAGTGTGCGGATATTGTTCCGTCTCAGTGTTTGGAGGCTAAATGTGAGACGTTTGTGTCGCTGCAGCAGAAAGGAGGAAGAGATTGGGCCGATGTTTGGTTCTGTAGTTTGGATTCAGGGCAGCAGGACGGAGTATAAATAAACTACAGTGTGTCACATGACCACTGCAGGTAGGTGAGCTAGCCGTAGCGCTAACAAGCTAATCTGCAACCATGTTTACCTCCAGCTGAAAACAGAAAGAATCAGAAAACTAAAAATAAAGGAAGTGTTTGAAGAAGGATGAAGACACACACACACACACACACACACACACACACACACACACACACACACACACACACACACACACACACACACACACACACACACACACACACACACACACACACACACACACACACACACACACACACACACACACACACACACACACACACACACACACACACACACACACACACACACACACACACACACACACTGAGCTACAGGGAGTTTACAGGTGGAGAGAAACAAGATTCTCTGGTTCATCCTCAGTGGGTCTAATCAACTCAGCACTGAAGAGGGAGGAGGAGGAGGAGAAGGGGGAGGAGGAGGAGGAGGTAGAAGGGGGAGGAAGAGGAGGAGGAGGAGGAGAAGGGGGAGGAGGGAGGAAGAGGAGGAGGAGGAGGACTCACTGCTGATGGTGAAATCCTGTCAGATCAAGAAAAAGTGATCCGAGCAGAGTGTTTGTTAAACAGATAACTGGTGTTTTTTACAGTCTTCATCCTCCTCTTCCTCTCCTTACGTCTCTCTGGTGGCGTCATGGTGGATCAGTCTCAGGACCATCATGCACCAGGAGCAGCCGATAGGATAAAACAGGACCTGATCGTCCTCCTCACGAACAGTAAAACCAGTCTGAACCACTTCCTGCTTCATATTCAGTCATATTACACAATGTGTGTGAATATTTTACAGATTAAATCACTTAAATTGTGACTTTTCAGAAAAAAACTTACAAATACAAATAAAAAATATGTATTTTGTTTTTATTTTATTTATTCATATTTAATTATTATTTTTGATAATAATATTTATAAAAGAGACAATTTATGTTTTTTATTTATTTGTGTAATTATGTCCTCTTTTTCCCTCTTTCTTTCCTTCCTGACCTCCTCCTTTCCTTTAATACATCCTCACTTTGTTCCTTTCTTGTGTAATGTGTGAAGATAAAATCTACAGAAAGTATAACTGTTAATAAATGAAATGATTATTATTATTAATATTCAGTTGTTTGGTCGGTGGCTGCAGTCGTGAGGTTGTTGGGAAGTGAAATACTAACAACAGAAAGATGAACTAAACAACAATATTACTTAATAGAATAATTTACCATCGCTGTGATGGATAAAATGTTTAACGTTAATAATGAATAATGTTAATAATGAATATTTCTGCAGGTTAAACCAGGTTCTTCTTCCTCTCGCAGGCTCCTGACCTTGCCCTTCTCCCGTCCATCCTCTGACACATTCCTCCTTTCTTCCCTCTTCCCTCTCTAGTTTTTTATATTTTCTTCCATTGGTTTCTAGGGGCTTAATTACGGGGGGCCGGCTCCGTGGTTGAGGAGGTGCTGGGCGAACAGGGATCAGTGTGACCCTGGAGGAGAAGCCATCAGACAGCGGCCTTAACAATGATAAATCACCCCGAGCAGAGCTACAGCTACAGCCGCCGCCCCGCTGATCTCTATAAAATATGGATGGACCTGCGCGCTGTGCAGGAGCAGCACAGCCGCATCGCGCCGGATCTCCAGATTAGCGATTATCAGGCGGAGAGGTATTCTAATGATGTGGGACATGGTGTGGGGTTAATTCCATTCAGAGGAAATGGATTGAAATTCAGCTCATGAATTGAATATTGCTCATTATTCTCAATGAGAGCAGGAAATCTCCTCATTCATGAAGTGGGTTGGAATTAATAATCCCTGAACGGACGGCGGACGCCTCCACCCCCCCGAGTCGGGATGGGGGTCAATGATCAGAGCTAAAGGTGCACACGCAACACGCCAAACACATTTAATCTCCACCTTATGGTTCACAAATCACCAGGACGGAGAGAAAAAAAGCTTTTATTTTGATCAGATTCTCAGACGCAGGTTGAATTAAACCAACTCAAAAATAATAACTCAGATTTAAATTAGTCCAGTTTTCTTTAAGTTGACTTTATAACATTTTAAAAATGTAAATAGTTTTTAATCATACGTCAGCTATTTTTACAGGTTATGTAATAATTTGCTTTAATGGAAGAAAACTGAGTAAATTCAATATAAATGGAAACATTTGTATAAAGAAGCATTTAAGTGACTAAATAATAATAATAAATAAATTCTGTTCACACATTTTAAATAAGTTTGGAGAAATGCTGCATATGAGTGATTTACTGACTAGTTTTAATATAATTAGTTCAACTTCATTTATCCAAATTACTTGAACGATAAACACTTGTTCTCAAACCAAATAAACATTTACTTATTTACACCTGACCACTTAAATGGTTTCAGGCAGTCGGTTTCCAGTTTGAGTTGAGCTAACTCATCAGGTTTTCCAGTTTGTTAGGTTGGTTTGTTTTTCACCACAGGACGTCCCCTATTCTCCGTAAGTTATTTTACTCCTAAAAGATGTTGAATCTGATTACAGATTTTAAATTAGTTAGAGAAACATTCCTGATTAAGTACTTTTTACTTTATATTTTGTTGACAGTGCAGATAAAGATTAGAAAATGAAGCCAGTTGGTGTTACTAACCCTTACTCTGAGATATTGAAGGTGGTATTGTTTTCTGTCTGTCTGTCAGCAGCTCAGACAGACAGGCAGTTAGCAGGCAGTTTGACAGGCTGTGAGACCAACTGGTCACTGATGACCTCTGGGGTTTCTCCTGGATCAGGTTCAGCCCTCTAATTTCATTTCCAGTCTGGCTCGGCTGCAAGCGGACACCTCAGCGTCGGTCCAGAGAGGAGACGACCTGCAGGACTCAGTGTCACTGCGAACACCTCCACTTCTGTCTCATTCACAGGTTGCTCAGAGGAAACAGAACCGTACAGCAACACACAACATGTAAATCAGAGTGATTCTCTCCTCCGATGGAGCGACGCTAGCAGTTTCCCCCCGCTTCCAGTCTTTGTGCTAAGCTAGGCTAAACACCTCCTGCGCTGTTTCCTCCATAACAGACACTCAATAGTTCGTAAGTCAGGACACTTTATTGTGTATGTGTACATAAAGCTACCATAATGTTGGCAATAACTGTTTATAGATACGTAAAATACCTTTAAACACCTTCCACTAGCTGTATGTGGCTATAGAGGCTCCCTGCACATAGTCTTTGTGCTAAGCTAGGCTAATCACATCATCATCCATCCTGAACACAGCTAGCTTAAACTCATCTGACCCTGGAGAAATGGGCTAATGTTAGCTCTCTGGCTAACAAACATTAGTTAATTAGTAACTGAAGTATGATAAGGCGTGTGGTTTGGATAATAATTGTCAGAATGAGTCAACAAATTTCAGCTATTGTTTGTTCATTCATGGAGCTAGGCTAGCAGTTCCCCCTGCTTCCAGTCTTTGAGCTAAGCTAGGCTAACCCTATGTTTGAGGTAATTCCAGGGCCTTTCAGATAAAACAAGCTTTGTGTTCTTCCTCCTGGTTTCCATATTCACTCTTTCTGTTTCAGTGACACACTCTGCCTCCACACTTCACCCATAATCCTCCACCTGACGGCCTACAACGAATCAATCTGTTCTGTGTCGCGCCGCCTGTCCAAAAAACAAAAACATCGCCGTCCAAACATCTCTCTCCATCCCTCCTCCTGTCCTCCGCAGAGCGCCGGCAGGTGAAAACAAAAGAGAAGTGACAAGGCGAGTTAACCCGTCGCTGCTCGGTCACACGATCCCCGTCACCGCCGCGCCTTGCCGGCGGTGAGCCAACCGCTCAGCGCGGCGCTTTTTCCTCGCGCTGTGATTTTCTCTCTTGTCCAAAACGTCTGAGAGGAAAAAACCTGTGGTCTTATTGAGTTTTCTTTTGAATAAATAAATATTTAAGAGGCGGCGAGGAGGGTGGAGGGCGTTTGACGCTCCACTCTGGCTGCAAATCAGGCCATCAAAGGGGCCAGACAATGTATGCTCACTATTAGTATCAATTTACAAATAAACTGCTTTTTTGGTGACTGGATCTCCGATGTCAGATTTTGATAAATGGTTTCAATTTGGCAGCTGCTTTCGAGTGTCAGAGCCCATCTGACGCTCGCCGCCCGCCGCCGCCGCTCGCTGCCTCAAAGAATCTGCCTCAGTTAGCCTCGCTGCCGCCAGCCGCCAAAATAATCTCTTCATACTAACCAGGGCAGGTGTGTGTGTGCGTGTGTGTGCGTGCATACAAATGTCTCTGTGTGGGTAAATATTGAAACCAGGATCCAGATTTCACTCCTGATGTTTTTCTACACAAATCTTAAAGGAGCTTCCTGCGTTTTTTTACACCATTAAGAACAAATCACAGACACTTTTCCTCACTGCTGACTCTCGTCTGCAGCCGGCTGCTGTTTAATAGGTTTTTAAATGTGCTTTTACTTCCCTCCAGGTTTCCTTTGGTTTCACTGACCGACCTGCAGAGACTTTAAACCTGCTTCAGATTGAGCTGTAAATTTATGTGACCAACCTTTTCATCATCAATTAATCTGCCAATCAAAATGCATCAAAGTGATGTGTTAAAATATCTGGTTTTGTTGAAACAACAGTAGAAACTCCAAAGATATTCAGCTTACTGTGATATAAACCAGTCTGCACCAGTTAATCTGATCTCACACAGACAGCCCTTTATTGACCACAACTTCCACAGTTTGTAGACAATTCACTCCAAAGTCTTCTTCTCAAAGTCCAGGTGAAATTAAAAATATAATTTTAACCCTTTAAGATCATATCCTCAGTTATATTGTTCCTCTATTTGACAATTTATGACAAAAAAAATACGAAAACTCAATTTCTTCTTTCTTCAAAATTCAATAATTCTGTCTTCCTGTAAAACAAAAATCTGATGCATGTTTACCTGCTTTTACCTAACTGCTAATGTAACGACGTGGACGTAGCACACAGTGCTATAAGCTACTGCAACAGGTCCCCTAACTGTCTGTTCTTACAGGAAATATGTAAATTAGATTAGATTAGATTAGATTCAACTTTATTGTCATTGCACAAGTACAGGTACTAGGCAACGCAATGCAGTTAGCATCTAAAGTGCAGAGTAATGTGGATATGTACAAAAATATGTAAAAAAACCAATGACAATCAAATATGAGGAAGCAAACAGCTCTTTGATTCTGATTCATCAACATTTGTATATTATGTGATATTTCCTGAGACGTATCCCTCCTCTCTTCCTGAGCTTTCTTCTATTTTTCCACATAAAAAGTTGTTTTGGGAAGTTTTTTATTTATCCGAATTGAGTCTGTAAGTACGGAGTTTGCTGAATGTTGTACAGATTGCAAAGCTCCTTGAGATGATTTGTGATTTTGGGCTATGCAAATAAAATTTGACTTGACTTGATGGAAGTCACGTCGTACAGTTCTGAAACTTGAACTGACTTTTGGCCTCACACGGGGCACCAGCAGCAGCCACCTGGGTTATCTTATCCATCCACTACCTCCTTACATGAACTTTCTTGCTCTTTACTCTACGTCACCTGACAGATGGGTTACACTGGAGTTATAGAGCAGCCCACTGCTTCTCTAAAGAATGTGACAGAACATCGGGAATAAGAACAAGATGGTATTTCCGCTGCCACTTCAACTTCATTCAGTGTACTATGAACTATATATTATAAAATATTCATTTTGTGTTGACTTTCAGTGGAATCATGTTGTGATGTGTGATCTTATTATAATAATTTTATTAAATTAAAGAAATTAAAATGACAAATAAAATAAGCAATTCAAATTTGGACAAACTTTAGGACTCTGACTATGGATCAATGTGGTCAAATTACGTGTTTAAAAAAGGCCTTAAGCCTCCTTCACCTGGAAGATGGATGACACTATTATTCTGATATTTACATAATCAATAAGGAATATTGGTTAAATGTCAAAAAGTGCCACAAAAACAAACATTTACTGGGATAAGTGACGTCCAATCACCTCTCTTCACCTGCACCTGACTCCATTTTCATCAGGTTATATTCTAACGTCACGACTCTCCTCGCTGCGTCTCAGCCAGCGACCTCCCGCCGCCCAAACCTCCCTCCTCGCCAGCGGAGGGGAAACAGAACGCAGCGAGAGCAGCAGCAGTGGCAGGATTTGCTCCCTGAAACAGCTGTTTCCTGTTTGAGGGATCGGGAACAATCAGCCCGCTGGCAGCAAGGAGTTGCCGGCGCTGCCAAGAGTGTACCGAGCAGAACCAACAAATCCAATCAGGCAACTTGGTCCTGTGCTGCATTAAATAATACAAGAACCTCATGCAGTGCAGGTGGTCTACGGCATCCACAGAGGGACAAACCGCCACTTCAGCTTCAAATCAGCCTTTAATGTGGCTGTAAAACCCGATTAAACACTAACACAGCCTGATTAGCAGCAGCTCTCACCAACAAAACAGAGTCCTGGCCTTGAATCTGACCTCTGACCTGAGTCTAAAGCGGTGACTTAATGACTCGTCTCCACTGACCTTAGGTAACCTCTCGGGGTCTCCGGGGTGGCGAGGGATGACCTTCTGTAGCCTCTGGAAGCCGTAGTCGATGGTCGGCTCGTTCAAGGCTGTGGGACGGACAGAGAGAGAGAGAGCGACGGTCAGGACGAATTCAAACCGACACACAGACAAACACATAGACGTCACAGAAACACACACTGATGCCCCAGATACAAAGAGCTGAGAGGGTTAAATTAAAGTTAAAATTAAAATCAGTTCATTTCTAAAGGAATCTTCACAATTACTTCATTTTTACTTTAAACATATGATATGTAATTTCTGCCACATCAAAACAATAAAAAAGAAGAAAACTTGATGACATTGTGAAGTAGCGTGGATCATGGGAGTTATATGCTAATAGCCTGAGGCTAAAGCTAACAGGTCCCAGGTTATGATATGATGCTAACAGACTGAGCCGAGCTGCTGCTAACGTTAGCTCAGCTTGTTTCTCTGATAACTTAAGATCCAGACGTCCGATGACTAAAATCCTTCATCCGGTTCAAATCTAGAGTTAAAAAGCACCAAGATCTAAACAGTGGATGGTAAACAGTCAACGTATGACAGCTTCTGATTATTGATTATTGATTGAATCAGCTCCATATAGAACATATATGTGGGGAAATATATCAGATATTAAACAGATTAAAGGGCAGAAATAATAAGAATGTAATGAATTTAAGGTTAACTCTGAGTATTTTGAGGTTCAACCAGAAGCGTGTTTCTGTGCCGACCTCTCGGTGATCTTCAGCTTCAGTCTGTTGGTTCTCATTAACAGTGAACGCTAACAGAGAGAGAGAGCGAGCAGTGTCAGTTGATCTCTCTCTCTCTCTTATCTTCCTGCTGTTTATTAAGTGTGAGACCTCACACTCCATCTGTCCCCCTCGCTCTGCCTTTTCACCGCTAATTCAATCCAACCTTCCCTCCCTTTTTCTTTTCTCTTTTCCTCCGCTCATTCACCAAACAATCTGCCTTCCTCCTCCTCCTCCTCCTCCTCCTCCTCCTCCCGCTGCTGGAGAAACACCCGGAAATGAGTTCGGGGAGATACTTCTCCATAATCAAGCCCATTAATCATAAAAGGCTGTCAAATTTGACTTTGGGGACAATTTGTCAGCCGATCTTGCCCACTCCGCTTTTGTCACCGTTGGCTCTTGTATTCTGTAAGGATGATTGACACACCAAATGCCGGTGAGTAGAATAGCTAGTTTGCGCTAATATGCATAACCGCGGCTTTCATGAATAAGAATAAGGCAGCTATACGGCATCGCAGAGGGGTCTCCTTCAAAGGGCCCCGCCGCCGTTTGTCGCCGGCGCTCCAAATAGATGTTATTACCATTATAACAATATTTGTTTTCTTTCCCCGGGAATGGGCGACCGCGAGCTGCTAAATCAAATTTGTCAGAGCGCGTTTCAAGCGGCGGCGGCGGAGGAGGGAGAAAAAAGGGCTTTCAGGCTGCGACTGGTGTGGGGATGATATCTGAAGGGTGACAGAGCGCTGAGGGACATGGCCCTCGCCGCGGGGGCTGCCATGTTGGATTTCTTGCCCCCCCCGCCTCCCCGAGAGGAAGCAAGAGAGCGGCCCGAATCTATTACCTCCGCCCCGCCGCGAATGAAAGAGGGATTCATTGTCGGATCCCAAAGAGACTTTTTGGGGGGAAGCGGAGCAGCCGAGGATGAATGGAGATAATGCATCAGGACGACACGAGCAGCAATCAGCAGCGAGTCCCAAACCGCATTGCCTCCCGACGCCGCGAACATACAACCCAACTTATAAAACAAGTGAAAGGCACTATGGGAAATGCTGCAATTGAATAAAAAATCCATTTACACTCAGAGAGAGAGAGAGAGAGAGAGAGCGAGAGAGAGATGTTTAACTCTTCATCTGCATCAGAGGACTCTGATCGGCTGCTGATGCCTTGCTCATGGGTTCATCCTCCTGTTCACTCATTGTTAGTGTTTATGTGATGTCATATGTTTGTGCTTAATATTGTCCTTCTGGTTCAGCTGTTTACACACTCAGTTACATGTAATCTATTACTTTTACTGTGCGTACTAGACCCAGCAGGAGTTTGGGGTCTGCAGTAAGAAGTAAGGGTGCTGGTTGTGGTTAATAAACAGAGGGTTGAGTCCAACTCTTTCACCACCTTCCCTAACTCACAGAGAGGAGCGCTGACATCGTTCAGCAGACGCACTGAGGCTTCTGCAGGTGACTGATTGTCTCAAAATGCTGATTAACTGGTCTACAGACACACTCTTATGTCCCATTAAATGCTGGTCCTGGATTCAGAATAATCTAATATGGACTCAATCCACCTACAGATAGTTTATAGAAGATCTATAACTTTTCAACAGCTTATTAGTTTCGATTGTTTCACAAATGAAAGTTTGGTTCGGGAATATTTATGAATATCCCATATACTCTACAGCAGTGGTTCCCAACTCCTGACTACTAAATTACATATTTTATAGGTATTTCATATTATATTCAGTGACAGCAGAATATAATGACCGACACATTTTAAAATCGAGAAGGCGTTGCAAACCCTCTTTGAAGCTTTGGCGAACCCCCAGTTGGGGTCCTCACCCCCAGGTTGGGACCGACTGCTCTACAGATGCAAATGTTCAAATACTTCATACAATCCGAATCAATAAATCCCTGGGCCGAATGAGTTCATGTGTCTGTATATGAAGCTCTTACTGATGCAGCATGGAGGCTTTTTGATTAACTCCTCTAAATGACGTTCTGTGGTTAATTTGCTCCTGCATCCCACTGGGACTCGAACCGACAACCTTCTGAATAAAAAAAGTAAGGCTTTCCCTCTGTTCATCCTCATCATCACCGTCGGAGGAGGAGGAGGAGAAAGAAACAAAGGCTTTTAATGAACCTCTGGACAGGCGGCTGAGAGTCGACCCCCTCCTCCCCCCTCCCTCCCCCAGTAGAAATTAAGCCCATTACTTCCCCTTATTAAAATCTTGCCGCACTTTGACCCCAGCGCCCCATTGGCTGCCTGCAGGGCCCCGCGCTCCTCCCAGCCAATCGATACCGGCTGCCTCCCTGCAAAGAGCCCGAGTAATTGGAGAACGGCGGCTGGCAGCGCGAACCCTGACCCCCCCCTTCCCTTCACTGCCGCCCCCCCACGCATTACACCGCCCATATGAAGACAGATTGCCTGATTTAGTGTAAACATATGCTGCAATTCCAGGCATCAGTGCCACTTTCTCCATCGTAATTTGTATTGATTTTTCTCTCTTTCCCTTTTTTTCTCTGCGAGGAGGCCGTCTGATGTTTTTTATAAATCAGAAAAGGAGGAGAGGGAGATAATTCAGAGGTGAGAGAAGAGGAGGGGGATTCTTTATATATTTAATCAAGTATTTATCGCTCTCTCCGTTAGGTTTTTTTCTCCCTCTTCTCGCTGTGAAAGTGATCAAACGGTTGGTTGGCGTCCTGCTGATCGGAGCGCTCTGTTATTAGGCGACTAAGTGACTGAGGAGAGGAAGAGGGGAAGAGGGGGGAGAGATGGGAGAAGAAAGAAAGGGGGAGGCGGGTTACATGTTAAACTAATTTCTTGACGGCAGATTTGTAGCATGAGAGGAGGCGCAGTGGGTCAGAGCTTCACTCCAGCTACAAAAACACTCAAATTATGTGTGAAAACTGGAACATCTGCGCACTGATTAATGATCGGATGGGTCCAGCTTGATTAATAATATTTAAATAATCAGGAAAAGGAGCTTTAATAGTCAAATAAAAGCCAGTCTCACATATAAAATATACTTCTACACACAGTAAAATGTTAAAAGCAGAAGGCAGTATAAAATAATAGGATGAGAAGACGGTAAAAGGGGAATAAAAGTAGTAAAAATAATCAAATTCAGTGAATAAAAACACTTTATTTATGTATTTTCTGAGCTGTAACTGAATCCACTGCACCCAGGTTTTATCTCAAACACAGGGTGCATTGTGGGAAAACAGCTGTCATCAGTGGTTTCAAATTGAGTAGAAAAAGGTGTCCCACAAGGATCCATACTGGGTCCTCTGTAATTTACTCAATATTTAAATATTGTTTCATTAATATTAAATAAATGGAATCAATAAACATAAAAGAAAAAGAAGGTTGTAGTACGAGAGTCGGTTCTAGTACCAGTAGCAGGGCCGTAGCCGGGTTTCAAACATTGTCCGCTGTTAGCAAAATGTTTGTATTCACGTCTAACCGTTCTTTCAAAATAAAAGCAGGTTAAACATTTTAACACACTTTCCCAGGGTCCTTTGCTGTCCAATCACATTACCAAAAGCTCTACTGACCAATCACAGCAGCTGTCCAACAGCCTGTTACCATGGTAACACCTGGCTTCTCTCACACAGTCAGACCCCAAAGAGCACCAACAGCCCACCTTGAAGGTGTCAGAGGTCAAACCGCCAACATCAGAGCGTCAGAGTGAGACGACACAGACGTGAAACAACAACCTCGACCCCGGGGTGTCTAAACCTGAATCCAGATACCCTGAAAAACAGATCCCTGCCGCCAGCTCTCAACACATCCCTCCAAATAACCTCTAAAGTTAATGGAAACGAGGTAGAAAGGCACCGATACTGTAAAACACATATAAAACTGCTGTTGACAATAACGTCTCTACTGATAACTGTGTTGATTAAAATACTTCACAGAAACATTTGAGTTTTCTGATCCATAACCGAAGCCACTGCAGGTTTTATCTCAAACACAGGGTGCATTGTGGGAAAACAGCCATCGTCATTGGTTTCAAATTAAGCAGAAAAAGGTGTCCCACAAGGATCTATACTGGGTCCTCTGTTACTTAAATGTTATTTTATTTACCAGATTAGCAGTCCTCAGACATATACATGTATATAAAGTTTTTACAAAAATACTTTTGTGCTTAATTTAAAGTTTTTTTCAAATGTACTTTAGAATTAAGTTAAGTGTACTAAAAATAAATATACTAATTCTGCAGTACTTAAGGTTGTATTGTAGAGTACTAGTATAGTACAGTGCAAATACCTGCAGTGGTAATTTAGTGTACTTATGAGAAGTAGTATATTTATTTCCAGGTCCTT